GATAGTGAGTAGGCAGTGAAATTGCCAAGTGGATTTCTCACCCGTTTAAAGTTGAAGCCTTTCGGTTCGAGGTAGGAGAGTGCCACAACTGCCTCGTTCTCGGTGGGAAAGATGAACTTGGGCCGTTCATCGTTGACATCTTTGACGTGTACGCGCACCAGCACTTTGGCAAACTTCTTGGGGCTGCCGCCGTCCTCGGCCATCATGTGGAACTGGTAGACCGTGGACTCGAGGCTGCCGGGCTCGGGGTAGTTGGCGAGCTCGTGTAGTTGGGCGTCGGGTTGGGCGAAGACGAGCTGCTGCGCGGCTGGTGGGCGCGGCAGGCTTTCGCGATCTATCGGCCGTTCGGTGTACAATCGGATGTCGTAGACGCCGCGAGTGGAGTCGTAGAAAGAGGTGATGCGAATGGGCGCCTCTGGCCGCGGCGATTGGCCAAACGGCTCGTCGAACCCCGCGGCCAGACGGAGCGAGTCGGCCCGGCCGACGGGACTCGGCTCGACGGCGACCAACTTGAAGGTCAGCTCGGCGTTGACGCCGTCGTCAGGATCGTGCGCGGTGAGAGCTCCGACGAACTCGCCGCGCGGCGAGTTCTCGACCACGTGGAAGTCGTAGACGGACTGTCCGAAGCGGGGCGCCTCGTCGTTGTAGTCGACGACGTCGACGACGACGCTGGCGCTGGCGGATCGGCGCGGCGCGCCCTGATCCTCGGCCACCAGCCGGAAGCGGTGCCGATCGGCCAGCTCGCGATCCAACCGGCCCGTCGACCGGACCATCCCGTCGTCGGGGTCGACGACGAACAGACCCGCCGCCTCGGCCCCCTCCAGCCGGTAGCGCAGACGACCGTTGGCCCCGGCGTCCGAGTCCTGCGCCCGGATCTGGCCGATCTGATGGCCCACCAGCCGACGCCGCGGGTCGCTGTCCTCCGTCACGCTCAGCCGGTACGTCGAATTGGCGAACACCGGCGAGTGGTCGTTGACGTCGCCGATGCGCACGCGAAGACGCTCCCGCGTCGACCTCGCCGGACTGCCCTCGTCGCGGCACACCACCTCCACGTACACGTGGCTCGTCTGCTCGCGGTCGAACCGCCGCAACGTCGACAACTTGTACACACTCTCCTCGTGTCCGCCGCCCGCGGCCGAGTTCGCAGAATCCCCAGAATCCGCAGGATCCGTTGCCAAGGCGCCGGCGTCGTCAGGGCCGCTGATTTGGGTGAGGCGGAACTCGCTGCTCGAGTTGCGCGCCAGAGCGCAGGAGACGCGACCGTTGAGGCCGCTGTCGGCGTCGCGGACGCTGACGACGGCGAAGTCGGCCGGCAGACTGACCGCCTCCTCCTCGATCACCAGATCCCGATCGCCCGACAGCGTGTAGCACGAGATCACCGGCTCCTCGTTGTTCACGTCCACCACGTTGACAACCAACTTGGCCGTGTCGTGCGCATAGTTGCCGGGCTGCTGATCCGCCTCGGTGCCGGCCGGCGCGTCGCCCGACTCCACACCCTCGAGGCCCAACTCGGCCTCGCGTTCGCTCGGATTGCGCACCAACACGGCCACCTCGAAAACCGCTTGCTCCGAGTGTCGCAGCGGTCGCCGTAGCAACACCGACCCGTTGCCGGGCACGACGCGGAAGGTGTCGCGCACCGCCTGTCCGGCGTAGGGGCTCAACAGGAAGACGAGTCGACTGAAGAGGCTGCCGCGGTCGTGGTCGACGGCGCGGAACGTGTAGATCGGCTCCTCGAGACTGGCATTCTCCAACAGCGACACGGTCGCCAGCTTCTGCTCGAACCTCGGCGCGTGGTCGTTGACGTCGACCACGTTCACGGTGACCTGCAGCCGGCAGATGGACCGAGATCTCGTGTCGCCGTCGCCGTTGCCGTCGCCGTTGCCGTCGGCGTCGGCGTTGGCGTCGGCGTCGCCGGCCTCGACGACGAGCTGGTGCGCTTGTGCCGTCTCGTAGTCAAGCGGCCGCACGACGAGCAGGTCGACGCGGTACGGGCTGGTCGGCGACTCGGTCTCGGTGAGGCGCAGCTCGAAATGTCGCGCGGCTCGGTCGTGGGCGTCGGCGGGCTCGAGCAGTCGGATGGAGGCGCGCTCGACGCCGTTGCCGGGGCCCGTGTCCGCGTCGACGGGCCGATGCAGGCCGACGGCCGACCGGTCGCCGACCGGCCCGGCCTCGGCGATGTAGACCGTCTGACGGGCCGACGGACGGAACTCGCAGCGGTGGTCGTTCACGTCGGTCAGACGCACGTGAACCTGCATCACGTCGGCGATACCGAAACTGCTGCTGTTCCCCACGACAACCTCGCCATCGCCGTCGCCGTCGCCGTCGCCGTTGCCATCGCCGTTGGCCGGTTTGACCTCTTTGGCGCCGGCCGCGCGGAGGATGTTCACGCTGAACCTGAGCAGACAGTCACCGGGGCCGGCGCCTCGCCGGCCGCCCCTGGCAACAGAATGTCGGGCCGGGGCCGAGAGAGGGATCGAGTCGCCGGGCGCCGGACTCGGACACAGGCTCTCGCGGTCCAGCCGCTTGGCGACGCGAACTCGACCTTCCGCCGCCTCCACCGCGAAGAGGTGGGCATGGTCTTTCTGGATGGCGCGGAAGGTCAACTGGCTGAGGGCGAAGTGCAGGTGGAGCGGCAGTTGCTGGGCCAAACTGCCCACGACCGTACCGAGCGGCACCTCTTCGTCCACGCTGAACAGCACCGTCTGCCCGGCCTGACACGACCGGCCCAACTGCCCGACCACCAGACTCAGCAGCACAAGGCTCGGCAACGCCAGGCTCCGCCAGACGGGCGTCTGTTGCCGCGGCGACCTCCGAGGCTTGTCTGTCGGGCAGCAACACTGACACATCATCCGGCTAGTAGTGCCCATACAGCATTTGTCTGCAGCCAACTTGAACCATCGCGGAAAGACGTAGGATGAAAACACGCGCCTTGTGAGTAGTATATAAGTAGCATTAAACTCATTTCGGCTTAAAAGCATTAATGGCAATCAATTCAAGTTCCGTAAACATTTGCTGATAATGTCTGTCAAATGCATTCAATTAATGTATTGTCTCTACGATTATTTCATTCTGATCTACCTACTTACCATACTAGGGATCTGGTTCAATTAAATGTTGATGGTGGCATTTGAGGCACCAGAGGGCGATGAAAGTGTCTATTTTTACACTTCCACTGTTCCTTCCGGCACGCCAAAGACACTTCGGGATGCAGAATGATCAAGTTAACATTACGTATAATGGTACCTAAAATAGTTAAGGTTGGAAAACTTGCCTTCGGACGAGTAACTTGTAGATTTTACTTTTTTAGCACATCTGGCTGGGGTAGGAATTGTTCTCTTACTGATCGACTGAACAGCAACAATTGCGGGTCACTAGACAGACAGACGACGACTCATGTTTGGCTTGAGGTCTGCAGCAATAAATAGATTACTTTTCCAATTAGCCAAATCGCATGGATGCAACCACAGCTCGGCCGCCTTTACTGGGAGAGACAAACTTCAAATCGAGGCATAACAACCACAATATAAGTGCTCTTTTAACACTCCATGAATACAAACTGTGACTAATTTCTTACCATTCTCTACATAAAACGATCCTCTAATCCTTGGACAGTCGTAGGAAAGAGGGTTTCGAGGCATTTTGCTAAGATACCCTATTTTCACGGTGCCAGGGTTTAGCTGGGATGATGCTACTTAATTAAATATGAGAAAATTATGTGAACTGTTTGCACAAATTGGACAACTGTACAGGATGAGATTAGTGAAAAATCCCAATTACCAAGTTTATGTCGTCTTTTGACGCCGGAATGGCGAACCACACAAACACGAGGACACGAAAGAATGTAATGCCGCCGAACCGTTGAAAGGAAGGAATTCTTGCTTTTCCGTGGAGCTGTTGTGCTTATCTGCTCGATTCTAACAGTCATTGGGGCTCCATTATTTGACACAACTTGAAGACGGCCTTTCTAGGCGTTCGAGGTCTGCCAACCAGTTTTTCGTATGAAATTAAAAGACCACTAATATCAAGAAATGGACCCCATTTATTCTCATGAAACAGTTGCTCACTCTAATTGGTTAGAGGGACCTTCACTTCGAATGAAAGCTAGGCACGTTTTCACCCCAAACGAGGAAGGAAATCTCGTGGACTGCGTCAACATGAATATCGTATAAAAGCCTACGAGTTTTATCCGTTCTCATCTGATAAGATCAAACAAGAATCTCTTCTTCATGCAGTTTCATTCGAAATCAAGTTCCCCATAACAATGTCATCTCAGGAGATTCATCGAAACCAAGTTCCTCTTCGTATCTACGCTAATTCGGACGGAGGTGAGGAAATGTTCACCATCGCTTTGGGCAGAAATTCACGTTTGGATGGAGAAAATGGGAGCAAATACTCTAAGGGGACCTTCATTTCGAATGAAAGTACATAATGAA